TTTTTGAATACTGTCTGAGAAATACTACATTGAAATACCGCTCACCATTTGAAGTAGATATAGATCTTCCTGTTTCCCAAAAACTCAATTTGCCAAAAAGCTGCAATAGGTAAATGCATTCTTATTTTATTTTTTATCTTATTATAGCTTGATTCCACACATTTCTTTGGTTCAAGTATGGAATTTTCAGCGTGTGATATCGGTAGCCAAAATTTATTAGCCCGAGTATTGATATCAGGTATGCGTCGGCAGGAATCGAACCCCGGACCATGTGCATGGTCGGAGAGCGTCTTAACCGTTGTGCCAACGACGCGATATATGACAAATCCATCTCGACCGGTACAGTTTAGATGTGATTTATCACAAGGTCCATTTTATCGTTGTTTGCTCACATCTCAGGAGATATGCATACATTAGAAAAGATAGAATGTTTGGAGGGATCTTATCAGATATTTTTAGCTGAGTAAATGGACAGATAATGTAGGTTATCGAATGAAACAATATGAAATCAGTTTTGTTGTGGTGGATGGAAAATTAGATGGCGATGTGTAAAATTTCAGACTTGGTAGGCTGGATAACTAAAAACATTTTTGGTAATTATTTTGTGACTTCGAACTAATTCACCACTTTGCCCCAGATATTTTTGTGAAGACGTATACTTCTAGCTCAGGTAGGTGTTGAAGATCTTTTCTGGACAACAACGTCTGGGTGATCGAAATAGCCAAACGCATCCGGCCCAAAGCCGACTGAGAGTCCTTCTGACTAAAGGAAGCAAAGAAACAATTTGCTTTTGATAACGAAGTTAGCCTGCTAAACTTCGTAGAGCATAGGGTGGACTGACTGAACCGTAAAGTAGGTGGTGTAGTCATCCACCTCAAGAAATGCTTAACTGTGAGCAAAATCCAGGCTATCGCTCACGAAAGTGAATCGTGCGAACTACTACGCTGCAGACTTAAAATCATAGGCCAAGATATTCACCTCGCTGCTAAATACAGCAGTCCTGACTGCAGTGCAGGTGACCTCCTAATAAAGAACCTGGGCTCCTAGACATCGAAATGTCAAAGTCTCAGAGTCGGCGACTTCAACGGCCCAAAAGTTGACTCGACAAGCCTCACAATGCCACCTCCAGACAACTCCTTTGATAATAAACTGCTGGAATCTAGCGTTTTGCTAGTCCTGGTCCTACATGTCATGAAGCCCACGCGCTGACTAACAGAACTCCTCTTCAACTCTGAACCTAGTGTTCTCCCATGGTGAGCATGTGGATCTCATACAACATCTTCCTCCTATAGGAAGAAGTGATCACGCCGTGCTAATTTTCAAGTTCACAGCATCAATATCATGGGCCCAAACCCTAGCTCAACCAAACTTTTAGAAAGCTGATAGAAATGCGATCGTCTCAGTGAACTGTTAAATAAACACAGAGTCCAAAGTAGAAGTCGCATGAAACCAGTCTGAACAACTTTACACCCAGTTAACGGAACCTTTCATCAATTGGTCTGTCCCAAAGGGTAGGAAACATTGACCCCTCGGATAAACCGAGAGGTTTGCAAGTTACCCAGAAGTAAACACAAATGCCGGAACCTGTTTGCTACACTTGAGACTCCCGATACCCGAAAGTTATACAACACCGTTAGGAGCAAAGCTACCACAGAAATCCACCAATCAAGGATGAGGTCCGAAGTGCATCCGGTTCAAAGTGCATAGGTCCAGCCAGGGAAAATTTTCTCGTACATGAGCTTTAGGAATAAGACGTCCAATGGTGTCGAAAACCTGGCTATTGACAATGATACAATCGAAGAGGGTCAAGAAAAGGCAGAAGCAATGGCAGACTACTTCTCCCAAGTCCTTACATAGGAGTCGTCACTCACGACAGAATCAGCTCTGGTTGCACCAGAGGAACACGGGACAGATTCAGTTGACGTCAACCAGGACACCGTGCTCAACTGCCTAATGAAACTAGATGCAGGGTAATCAATCGGTCCTGATAACCCCCATCCAAGGCTTCTCAAGGAGCTATCAGCTCACTCAGCCGACCCACTGACCACGATCTACAAGCTATCCCTCCTAAATGGAGTCTTACCGCGTGACTAGAAAGATGCCATAGTATATTACATCCACAAAGGAGAGTCAAGACTAAGCCTTTCAAACTACACTCCTGTCAGTCTCACCAGAAATTTAATCAAGACACTGGAAAAAATCATCAGGAGAATGAACATGGCATATCTGGAAAACAACTCGTTATCCAGAGCACACCATGGCTTCCGAGAAAACCCCTAACACCTGTCAAATCTTCCCAATGCAAGAGAAAGTTGGGTTGAATCAAGGGACAACAGAAGATCCATTGATGCCATCCTCATAGACTTGAGCAAAACCTTCGATAAAGTTCCCCATAAAAGACTACTCATGATGTTGGAAAGTCCTAGTATCAAGGTCAGCTTACTAAACTGGATTAGGGAATTCCCTAAAGGTAATAATAATTTTATATTTTCATATAAACATAAATTTACATGAAAATGCATGCCATTTTTACAGGCACGATCAAGTATGATACAATGTCAAATAGTAGATTGTCTACAAGTTAGTAATGTTTGAACAGCTAAATATTTGATATATGTATAAATACACTCTTTGTCTGACCCATGTCGTATCATTATTGAATTAAACAGCAGTCCTCCAGGTTGCGCAGGAAAATCGACTTCATTTCGTTTTCAACCCGTAGTTGTAGGCATACGATAACCAACCAATATTGAGGTAAGTACAACGTTTACAAGGGATAGTAAGCTGTTTTAGAAAAGTAAAGGTGCAAAGGTGAATCATTAAAGTGTAATGAAATAGGTAAATGCAATGTATCATTAATATATGCATTCATAAAGGAAATAAAATGGGAGACTATAATCCCTAGGCTGACAAAGTTCCTTTGCAATGTATAATGCTACCCTATAGGTCTTACTATCATGTTGTCCACTTTTGGTTTAATACAATTATCCACAAACCGGTTGTTTTAATTTCATACCTTTTTGTGTTTGGTGCACAACCGTACCCTATAGAGAACAAGAATAAAATAAGTCGAATCAAATTCATAAAGAGCTATAAAATGTTAGGTTTAGTGGAATATAATGAGCAAGTGAAGACGTTATTAGAAAATGTATGAGATGAGACATTGTTAAGTGATATTCGAAGATACGACAAAGGAAAGCATGTCAATTTATAAGATGCCCCATAAATCTGTGCAGAGCCCACGTGGTCACATCTCAGCAATAGGCTGACCGAATGGTATATGTTTAAAGGTATAAGCATGATCTGTCCAGGCGATCATTATTATCTTATTCAAGATAAAGATTCAAGTCCTCATAGAAATCTCGAGCCATCAAATTGGAGGGTTAGGATCAACTCGAAACTCTCCTCCTGGACAATAGTACTTAGTGGAGTGCCACAAGGAACGGTACTTGGACCTCTCCCGTTTGTTTTGAATATCAGTGAGTTATCTCTGCTTACCAGTTACCCTATGATCCCATACTCAGATGACGTAAAAATAATGGGGGAGCTGAAGGGCGGCAGTGATACGCTTACGTTGCAAGAGAAACTTAACGAATTCTCAGAGTTGTACAGAGAAAGGATGCTGTCAATCAATGTAGCGAAATGTGCACCCATGAGCACCGGACACCCAAGCATCAGCCGATACGAACCAGATGGAATAAAACTCCCATCAGTTCACACTCATTTGGATTTAGGTACTTATAGGCTAAGGGTGTTGATGTTCATGGATAGTGTGAAGTATACCAACGCAAGATCTTATACGCACAACTTCTATAGTATTCGTTCCGCGTAGACCAAAGGCAAAGCAAAACATCATAACTGATCGTCCAAATTGCGAATTATATTTCGGGACCAAATCGGAGTATGAGGTGATTGCTTCACTAGGTAGGGATGGTACACAAACCAACGAGCAAAACACAACGGCACGCCAAATGGCGTGTACGCTTGATCGGACGCCTTCAGTCAAACAAATCGACTAAAACAGTGAGGGTCAGCATCCAATGGTCAGTGATGAATGGTGTAGCAAATAATTCTAGGGAATTACCTATCGCTACAGGTGTCATGGTAGGTCACGTTTTAAAGACTACAGCACACTGTCGCACGGTGGCTGTACGTAGCTTCAGATCATTATGGGCAATTCACAGAGCCTTTACTGGAACTGCCAGAGATATGTCTACCTGCTTTCATACATCTGTGGTGAGGTGAAGACTGGAAAACTGTGTCCGGATAGCCAGGCCTTGTCTTGAAGGGGAAAAACATATTCTAGAAAGTGTTTGGAGGAATACGACACGTGTAACTCTCGACATAACTAATATATCATACGGGGAAAGACTAGATAGCTTAAATATCTTCTCCCTATCATACTGTACGTAGGCAGAGACGAGATTTAATTACGATGTTGAAAACTTTAAATAATGATCACGGACCTGACCTATTCTGTCATTTTTCCTTCCCACCAGATTGGAACAGCTTGGAGGACATAGCAGGGGAGTTCAAAAGTCAAGGAGAAATCATATAACTGTTGAGTACTGGTTCTTACACTGAGTCATGAAGTCTTGAACCTGACTCCCAGAAGAAGTGATGTCTTCAACCTCAACTGATTCATTCAAGAAGGCTTTAGACAAGCACAGAAATTTACTGAAAAAGGGTTAACATAGGATGGATGCCTTCTATCCTTAACAAATAAATCTCAATCTGAATCCTGGTGGTCCTAACATACTGCATACTACAAACCACGTTGTGACCAATCCCCGCACCATTCCTCTTGGAGTCTACCAGAGCTAAAGCAGTCGAGTGGCGGGACTTACTTACGCAGAAGTTCACCGAAGATCCGGAACCCCTACCTTACAATCAAGAAGCGGGCTCAAAGAAATCACTGGTCTATAATAGCTCGTATTCAGGATATTGGATATTGAATTTGGAGGCGGGCTCAGTGGCCTTCAAGGCTGTAATTAACTTTTGTTTATGCATTTGTATTAATCGTAAGTGATAGTGCTAGGTGGGTGGGTTTAGTCTTTGTGATATATTCCACATTAGGGAAAACAAATAACTATAAAACGTCATTTCAAATAAGATTATGCACACCTTTGTAGACTTGGAGATTGCAGTTACAGTATTTTAAAATAAAGTAATTACTTATTTCCTAGGTACTTATTCTGTAAATCTATACTGTGAGGTACGGTTATGGATTTTAAAATGAAGTTATAAGGTCTAGGGTTAACGATATGATTAGGAGTTAAGATTATTGTTATAGTTAGGAGTAGATTGAAGCACAGTGTCAGAAATATCAGTGAGTCTCAAAGTACCATAACCCTATAGGTGACTGTTTACAGTCACCTGGATGGATGCATCTATCGCGCAAGGTATGATTTCTACATAGGTCATCTATATGGTCACTGAGAGACATTCTTACAACACATAATCGACAACTATGTAGTGTAAAATCATTTGTGCAATGTCTTTTAGTGCATTTTTTCAACGACCACGCAACTTTTCTGCATCTGAATTCCAATTTGTTGTTTTGACTATGACAGTTTAAATTTGACAAATCTGAGAATCTGTCCTCTCTTTAACTGTATCAACTGGAGTTGATTTACTTATGCAAATCTCCATGTTATCAAGTCAGTTAGCATGTCCAGTTGGGAGAGTCCTTGAGCTTAAAAGCACAAATAAAACAGTTAAGTTAATTGCCAAATACTGATGCACCTTTAGGTGTCAGATGTTTTCCATTTATTTACCTCTACAGTGAAATTATCCTTTTCTAAAGGTATCTGACTTTAAATTCACTATGTCAAAATCTTTGATGTCAGTGTCTACTGATTTATATTTCGTATTTTCTGAAAAGAATTCCCCTGTTACATAGATGTTACATTGTGCTTAGTATATTTTTCTTCTAACAGGTATTTTAGAATGTCGCATAAATTATTTTACTTAATTGCGACATTAATTGCTCATTTGTGTTTGGTAAATGCGGACACTCCTGCTAATTGTACATATGAGGATGCTCATGGTCAATGGATCTTTCACGTTGGAGAGTATCAATCAAAATGTTCTGAAAATTGTAAGCGGAATGTTTTAAAGTTCTCGAATGAATTTAGTAAAACCGAAACAGTTTGTCACTATCAATCTTTTATATCCGGATATTGCTATTGATGCATTTGGGAATAGAGGACATTGGACACTTATTTACAATCAAGTAAAGTTTTAAATTAATAAATTCATATTTTGTTTAGGGTTTTGAAGTGACAATAAATCATCGTAAATGGTTAGTTATATTCTATTATAAATCAAATGGAGATTATAATTGTCATAAATCTATGCCAATGTGGACGCATGATACTTTAATTCGTCAATGGAAATGTTTTATGGCGGAGAAAATGGGAGTACATGACAAGTAATTTTAATATTTATCCGTTTAACGTTATTAGACAGCTAGCAATTTCTTCATTGTGATATGTTTAACCAAATGGGTTTTGTATGAACAAAGGGTCTGGCATAAGCTAGTGTATCCGTGCATACTTTTCGTGACATCATTACACGAATATTTTGTTTCGAGTCAAATTTTTGAGTGGAATAAAACATTACGTTAGTTAAGAAATGGAACATCGACATCTTCAACGCATGTTGCAGCTACGGGATATCCTGTGGCCACGTCTGTCCGAGGGTTGGCTCGCAAATTAGCTATCCAGCTCAGAGAACACAACCACATTAAAAGAAATGGAGTGTTATTCAAAACAGGTTGTATAACAGTATTAACAGGATCGCTTAATGCTTTTATAGAGTGATTTTGAGTTTTCTGAGTTAAAGATGCATTCACAGTTTCGAAACGTCGATGTCTACTCTAGTTCCAATAGTTGGATGATGCCATTAGCTTTTAGGTAGCCGCCGTGGTTCATGCGTTATATACAGTTATCTTAGACCTTCCTCAGTTGCATTTCTTTTACATCTTAAGCTACTCTTCTCGTATATTTGGCATACAAAAATTCATGTAATCAATTAACGGAAGTGTTCCATGCTTCGGTCTCGGTATCAAGATAGTATCTCAGACCTCACATGAAATATGAAACCAGAATTCAGTAGTAGAGTTAAATTTCTTCTATGTTCTTCTAACTCATTTCACTTGCTAATTCAATCAATTATTCAGTCATTCAACGTAACATGGTTAATATGATACTATATGGGACGTTCAAGCCTGCTACCTACCACGCCTACATGTTGATTCAAGGGTATCTTAGTTTAAGAATCAAATATTCACTGAAGCATCGTCTGTTTGTCATATCTACCTACTCACTGACAGGTTGTAGTCCATATGGATTTAAGTTTCAGTGTCAGCTGATTGATTGACAGACTAGTGTGCTCTACAGATGCGTAGTACTAGCTAGGGACGTCTAGACTTTTACAAGAGGCGTACAGATAGTCGAAGGAGACTCAGTGTTTACGTGGAGGCCGCTAAATCTGGGGGTCAAAACGTGCGTATGCGATGGGAACTGCGGCTGCATTTGGCAATAGTTGGAAGCTGTTCCAGCTCATCCGAGCCAATAGTAATAAGACACTTAGTGTCTATGAGATGGATTATGAAGCAGATAGTACGTTGATTAACAGCCTACAGAAATACCTAGAACACTGGACAGAACACTTTGGGAAGAATAGATGTTGCCCAGCCCAGATGTTTAATATTTTTAGTAACAGTGCTCTGTGTGGGTGGTTAACACCGATTCACCTGAAAAAGCAGAAGTTCAAGAAGAACTCCAAGTTCGCAAGTGCCATAAGATGACCGACTCAGACAACTTAAGCACCACTCTTTTTAAAGATGATAACGTGACGCCTAGTCAAAGAATTGACTATAGACTGTTTGGAAAAGTGTGAGATTGCCTCATCAGTGTGCTGAAGACGGTGATGGTGGACTTGTCGAGTCTATCTTGAGCGGTTTCCAGCGTAATTAGACAAAGAAGTTGTAAAGAAGTCAATCTGGAGTTCCATACTAGTACACCTTGTGGGGACAAATCACAAGACTGGGAAAAATGTAGCCCTTACAATTCTGTCATACATCAATTTCCTAAGTCTGTACGTCTTCGACTGCTAAGCATAGCTGAGGTAGTTGACATAAAATTTAAATTTTAGCTGACGGTAGCAGTAATTAATATATATTTTTTAAATTTTAGCCCCAAAACCAACAAACAAATTCCCTTCAAAGGTCTTAGTAATACACTTTATCAAGTTGACTTTGAGCTTGTGAACAGAATAAACACGCATCAAAACTCATGGCGAGCAGCAGTTTACCCTGAACTGTCAAGGTACACGATGGCTGAAATAAGAAATCGAGCAGGTGGTGTAAAGTCTTCACTTTCTAGGTAAATTTATGCTAAACATTTTGAATCAATAATGTCTGCTTTTTCTTTTTCAATTGAGATTGATATTCCAGGAGATACCTCCTATCGAAAACTTCAGTTAGTTTAAAATTTACTTAATGACCAAAAAGAGTGCACAGTTATGTATTTTTAATTTTAAACTTCTTAGCTATATATACTGGGGAACTCTTAGCAGTATTGAATCTCTACTTTTACAGACTGTCAACGATTTTTTGACCATTAGCGCACTGATACATGGTTAAATTGTTATTTCCTAAAGCTGTCAGTGATTCTCATTCCCGGCCAACCGTCATCAAAATGATCGGACACTAATATCAGGAATATATTTATAAGTATTTGTGTGGGGTTGGAAAATGTTGTTTACTGAATTCTGATTCACTTACTCATTCAAATCCTCGTTGTTAGAAAGGATGGTGTGATGATTTACGTTTATGGTAGGTGTGGTTGGAAGCAATCGACAGGAACCCCTAGATCTACGTTTCGTGCTTGTTGGTACTTGTTGGCAAGGCGTATCTGCAACCTTGAAAGGATTCATGTTCCCTCTGAAATTCAAACCCGTATCATCTGCTGTTGCAGTCAAAAACGGTACTATACTGACCTGTTTAGACTGACGATAGACCTCCTATAGGCCACGTTTTCATGGTTTCCGGTAACTAAAACAGGTTCATGCGCCATTCGATCGGTTCGGATGGTGAAGGTCGTATTCACCATAGGTTTGGAACCAAGGTTTTCCAGTTCCTGTAAGTAGACAAGCATATCCACTAGTCTGATTGTAAGAGCCAGGCGTTTGTGTTTTTCTGTTTGCTTTTTGCGAGGAGCGACTCCGCCGCATGCAGCCAGTGAATATGATTTACGTGGTAGAGGCCGTGAACGCGTGGTTACGTTAGAGCATTTTGACAGAAGGACCGAAATCTACCCACTCTCGGCTGTACCATGTCTTCTTTTGCGAGTGGAGGGGGGGGGAGCGCATCCTTTGAGAGTTATTTGGTAATCGTTTAAATTTTGTTATACATAACGTAATCATATTTATACCATTATATGTCTTCTAAGTCATGGGGGAGTTTACTAAAGGACTAGCATACTGGGAACATAACTTCTCATTAATCGATTATGCATCATAATCCAGTACAAAAATTTGCCACAGGTTATGGAGTAGTTGCATGTACTGTTCCAGAAGAAGCAGCATAGGTATACCTAGTTAATATTACATTCTTCTTGTTATTTAACGGAGTAATGCATGTGTTGGTATTCATTCATCTCTTTCAGACCTGCACCAATGTTGCACAGAACCAGGGCATCAGAAGAACTCCTTGCGTTAACTAGAAATCTCCCGGTAGAATTTGATTGGGTCAATCCACCAAATGGTCTACGAAGTCCTGTTACACCAATTCGTAATCAACAAGCTTGTGGTAGTTGTTATGCCTTTGCATCTGCTGCTGCACTTGAAGCGCGTATCCGTCTAGCTAGCAATTTCACTCTGCAGCCTATTCTATCTCCTCAAGCTATAGTTGATTGTAGTCCTTATTCTGAAGGTAGTTTAATCAAATTTATTCCGTGTGTGTGTGTGTGTGTGCGTGCGTTTTTGATTGGCAGTGTATGGAATTTCCGTGACTTTTTTTCCCTTCACGTTCCCCAGTGAAACATAGGGGTTCAAGCTAATGGCTTGAAGTTTCTGTAGCAGTGTTTATTTTTACAGGATGGAGTTGCTAGCCTCATGCCCAACCTTTCCTCTTTACCAGCATTATTTCTGACTTAGAGAGGTAAAGGAGTGCGTCCGTGGCCGGGGATCGAACCGGACCATGTGCATGGTTGGCGAGCGTCCTAACCGCTATGCCACCGACGCACTTACTGACATTAAAAAGTTATTTTCATCTGAAATCTGAAGATTCGCCGTATATCACTGTGTGCATCGATGGTGGTTCAATGGCAGAAAAATGTTCATCAACCACGCACTCCCGAACCACACTCAACTGGTTAGTAAAGCCGGCAGAGAGAGGAGATTGAACACGTGAGGCTAATGACACCTCAGAGTTCAAGCTTGAAACCTCTATGTTCCAATTGGAACACAGGGGAATGAAAAAAGTCTCTATAGCAATACAACTGAGTGAATTTCAACAGAGAACTTTGCACAGATGATATGAAGCAGTTCAAGTTGCCACACTCCATGTAACACACAAACACAAGAGAGGAGAGTGAAGAAGGGTTCAAAAAACAGATTATACACAGAAGTGTGAGTGGGGGAAGAACAATAGAGTTTTATTAGATACGTCAAATCACAGGGAGTGAATGCCTCTGTGTCTGCCATTGAGAACGATTTTCAGCCGTATCACCAATCTTCTCCAGCCGTCATTGGTTCTTACCATCCAGAGGACTCCAACCAATCAGACAGTTTACACCTTCCTACGTGGCTGTCTGTCTGAAACTAACTGTTGTGGATTTCATTGACTGATGAAGTCATGTTTTGGCTTGACCACCACTGGCTCTTCCACAACCTCACCCTGTGTCAGTTAACATTTTCCATCAAGGAAACCGATGGCTGGACATGCGTAACACATGTCCAAACCATCTCAATCGATGTAGCTGCTTCATAACATCATGGATTGATTTTTCCTCCTTCCATAACACTTGACTTATAACTTCAGTATTCCTCATCCTATTACACCCACCATCTAACATGGGAGATAGGATTCAGACACCTATGATCCACGACAACTAGGCATGCTTTTCATGTCTTCTACTTTCAATATAATAGTCGGTATCATTAATATTAAGAGTAGACTTTTGGCACTATGGTAGAATATAATTCCATATTAGATAAGTTCACTTAATATAACACAGTCATCAAGTATTCATCACTGAATGGCCTTTTGAGCACCATTCATTCATTGCTCATAATTATGTCAATTCACATTCACACGACTTCCTGTCTTGCCTTTCTAATAATCTAATTTCCATATATCCGGCATATATAGGTGTTGCATCGTTCCTATAGCATGTCTATCTGGATTCAACATAGAACTTGGCACCGAAGTGCAGCAGTTCGAGTTGCCACGTTCCAAAGAGCACACAAAGGTAGACAAGAAAATGAGTGAAGAGAATCAATAGAGTTTTGACAAGTATAAGAGTGAAACAGAATGAGTAATGGTAGAAAGGAATATGAAAGATTACAGAGACTGAATACATCTGCGTAAGCCATTGACAACGACTTTGAGCCATGTCACCTATTGTCTCCAGCCATTGATTCTTAGAGTCCCGAGGGCGGGCCCCAACCCGGAAGTCTGCATTTCCCTACCTGACTTAGTTTAACTGTCAAGGATTTCATGGATTGATTGATGCCATGTTTTTGTTTGGCCACCACTTACTCTTTCCCAACCTGCACCTATATCAGCTAGTAATGCCCGTTGCGGAAGGCGATGGTTAGGCATGCGCAGCACGTGACCTAGCCATCTCAATGTATGTAACTTTATAGCCTCTTCGATTGATTTTCCCTGTTTGCCCAACACTCTACGCCTGACGTCAACATTACTTACCTTATTATACTGTAACAACAGAAGACAAGGGCCAGGCAACAGAACGTTTATTACGGAAAATCAACACGTATTTATAGATTTTGATGCACATTATTGTAGGTTAATGTTAGTAGAAAATACAGTCTGTTGATTGGTTGTTTCTCACACAAAGTTAACCTTGAATCTATTGTGGCTGTGTCAGTTCATCTATATATTATCTGTATCCGCCTGTCCATCTTGACCTTCGACCTCCATTACTGTCAACCAATTTGGCTAGCAACCATCTCTCACCACAATACCACCAAACGTGAGAAAGAGGTCGTAGACACCTATGATCAAAAACAGTCAGCCTTTTCATGTCTTCAACTCGTATTGACCATGTTTCAGAGCCACAGAGAAGGACAGAGCGAACTGCTGAGCAGTACACACGTCCCTTGATTGATAGCCGGATGTCACGCCTACGCCAGAGATGGTGTAAGTTAGCGAAAGCAGCTCGAGCTTTTTGGATCGGTGCTGAGATTTCGTCACCAATCAATCCGTTGGTGCTGATACAACTTCCCAAATAGGTGAAATGGTCAACATGTTCCATCACTTCACTCCCTATCACTAAGCTAGGAGTTGACGTAGTCCAGTCCTGTAGCAGCATCTTACATTTTACAGGGAGAGAAGAAATGCATAATAGAGACAGTAAACAGAGGTGTGAGACAAAGGAATAGTAATAACGAAGTACGATATAGTTTAATTTGAAATCATAAGTTACAAGGAGTGAATGCATCTGCGCCACTGAGAACGATTTTGAGCCATATCACCAATTGTTTCCATCCATTGGTTTTTACCATCCCGAGGACCCCAACTAGGAAGTCTGCATCTTCCTACGTGGCTTAGACTAACTGTTGTGGATTTCATTGATTGGTGCCATGTTTTGGTTTGACCGCCGCTAGCTCTTTTCCAGCCTGGCCCTATATCAGCTAACATTGCCCTTTGTCGAGGAAGGCGATGACTAGGCATACGTAACACATGTCTTACCATCTCAGTCGAAGTAATTTCACCGCTTCGTCGATTGATTTCCCCGCCTTACCTAGCACTCGACGCCTAACCTCAATATTGCTCACCTTATTATACCACTTCACGCGGGAGATGGAACGCAGACACCTATGATCGAAGACAGCTAATCTTTTCATGTCTTCTGCTCTGAATGGCCAGGTCTCACAGCCATAGAGGAGGACGGAGCGGACTGTTGAGCAATACACACGCCTTTTGGTCGATAGTCGGATATCGCGTCTACGCCAGAGACGGCGAAAACTGGCGTATGCGAACCTAGCCCTCTGTATTCGTACTGATATTTCGTCGGAGATCAACCCGTTGGCACTGGCTGATGGTACTTCCCAAGTAATTGAAGTGGTCAACGTGTTCTACCACTTCACTTCCTATTTCTAATCTAGGGGTCGGTGAAGTCCAATCCTGCAGCATCATCTTACATTTTACAGGGGCAAATCGCATGTCAAACATACGAAGATTGTTGCTCAGGGTGTTCAGTAGACTCTGCATTTTGTCAGAGTCCTCGCTTAGAAGGACTATATCGTCCGCATATTCTAAGTCAACGAGATTATTCCCTGGTAGCAAGTCAATCCCTGAGTCGCCGAAGTGTGTTAGGGTTAAGTCCATTAGTACGTCTATGATGAAGTTGAATAGGAATGGGGATAATGGGCATCCTTGACGGACGCCACTAGTCGTCACCACTTCAGATGACAACTCGCCATAAGCCCTCACCTGGCTGCATGAGTACGAGTAGAGTGCCTTAATCAGTGCAATGTATTTTCTTGGCATTCCCTTTACAGCCAAGCATCGCCAGAGAACCTCTCGGTCGACAGAGTCGAATGCCGCCTTTAGGTCAAGAAAAATAATGATTGTCGGACGCCGGTAGGAATGCCTATGTTCTAGAATCTGTCGAAGAGTGAAGATATGATCAATACACCCTCTACCTGGCCTAAAACCTGCCTGGTTTTCTCGTGTTTGTGTCTCCTGAGCACCACTTAGTCTACGCATGATTATTGAGCCTAGGATTTTAGATACTATATTAGTCAAGCTAATCCCTCTGTGATTATCACAAGAAGACATCTTTTAGTATAACACAAATTGATTCATGAATTATTGTTTCCAAATTCCTAACGTCATTAATTCTCACTAAATTGTTCTCATTATCTCTCCTTTCTTATTCATGTTCGTCTTTTGTAATACCGTCCATTTTTAATCTTTCACGGAAGTTTCATAGCATATTTATTTACATGTTGTGCTATAACAGAATTTGCGCATATATTTCTTTTTAAAAGTTTCATCACGGATTGATATTATATAGAAAACCACTGAAAACCAAAAGCGGAGTGCTGGAAAGCTGTTTCGTCCCAGTTTGGAACTAATCCGATGTACACACTCCCTACCAGGATTCAAACCCAGGACTTTCCTGTTACAAAGAAAACCCGTAGATAATTCAGCCACTAAGACCCTACTGGATGACCCACTACCCATGAGTTCTAACTTCTACCAATTTGTGATTTTAGCGCAACTGTCATCAGCCAATGTCATCCATGGTGAGTATTTATCCTCAGTCCTGATTGGGTTGACCCCACTGGTGACGTCTTCTCACTAGAACTCTAGTCCTGTAACCAGTTATTAACGATCATCAGATTGATTTTGATGAATTAGACTGTAGGGATTTGGTTTATTTCAAGTATGATCACGGATTGCTATCAGTTAGAGATCCACTGAATGATCTACATACCATGACTTGTAACTGGAAGGTCCTAGGTTCGAACCCTGTCAGTAGATGTGCAATGCTGTCTGTCTGTATTCGACATAGAACTTTGCACCGATGTGCGGCAGTTGAATTCGCCACAATCCATGTAGCACGCAAACCAAGAGAAGAAAGTAGAAGAAATGCAAAATATAGATAGTAAACAGGGATATGAGACAAGAGGAATAGTAATAACGAAGAACAACATAGTTTCATTGGAAATCATAGGTCACAAGGAGTAGATCCATCTGCGCCATTGAAAACGATGAGTTTGAGCCATATCACCAATTGTTTCCAACCATTGGTTTTTACCGTCCCGAGGACCCCAACCAGCTAAGAAGTCTACACCTTCCTGCGTGACTGGCTTAAACTAACTGTTGTAGATTTCATTGACTGGTGCCATCCCTATGTCAGCTAACATCGCCCATTGTCGAGAAAGGCGATGACTAAGCATACGTAACATATGTCCTAACCATCTCAGTCAATGTAATTTCACAGTCTCGTCGATTGATTTCCCCCTCGACCAATGCCTAACCTCAATATTGCTCACCTTAGTATACCACTTGACACGGGAAATAGAGCGCAGGCACCTATGATCAAAGGGATGTGCAGTGCTGATGAGTCCCAAGCTAGGAAGAAACAGCTTTCCAGTATATATATATATATATATATATATACATAATAAATGTTTTAACCCAAGCGTCTGTAACAATTATTTGACTGTTTAGGCTGTAGCGGTGGTTTTCCTTTCCTGATTGCTGGAAAATATGCTGAAGATTTTGGATTTGTACCAGAAGACTGTGATCCATATACTGGTGAAGATGGCGACAAATGTCCTGTATCCAAAAACTGTACTCGGTATTATGCTACAAATTATGGTTATATTGGCGGTTATTACGGGGCGACTAATGAAGAACTTATGCGATTAGAACTTGTTAATAATGGTCCATTCCCTGTTGGATTTGAAGTATACGAAGATTTTCAATATTATAAGCAGGGTGTCTATCGTCATACAGGACTTCATGTGAGTTCCCTCCCCCACCACCCCCCACGCAACATTGTTTTTTAAAATATTTTTTATTATTTTTAAAGTTAACGTATCATTCACGCATTGAAGTTGATTTTCTAAGCTGCGAAGTCGAATTAGTATTCAACTACTGCAAAAAATCCCTCAAAACTGATCTTAAATATCAGCAAGCCTTGACAAAGTTCAACTTTAGACACCTATGAGATGCGGACGAACCAGTGATCTTGGAACGAGAAGTTGCACTAGAGAACGAATTCAACCCCCCCCCCCCTCAACTCTCCCTAACCCTAACCGACCGTAATATCTCTATAACTAGGTGAACGTAATCCTAACGTGTCCTTTTAATAATAATAATATGCTTTATTCCAAAACAGTACTTGTGATACAGAATGGAATTCTCAGCATGTTTACTACAGTACTGCATCCAGTTAGTACATTATCAATAAATAGAATTCTACATAGATTGAGGAAACCAACAGTTCATTATTACAACAATACATTGGCATGTCAGTAGCAAAGGTAAAGCTGAAACAGTGTTTGAAGGTGTTAGAAAAGTGGGAGCTGTCTTATTAACAGGCGTAAGCGAGAGAAAGAGACAAAGCAGCACATAACGGAACAAGAGAGAGAGAGAGAGAAAAGGAAAAGAAAGAAAGAAAATGTTGTACCTATAAATGATGTGAGTTGGAAAGACGAGATCCAGTTGTACTACTGACTATTTAAAGAATTATAGGTGTCACGCCTAATGCTTTCTTTATCACACAGAACACGAGCTAAGTAGGGTATGGTTGAGTTTTTGTACTTGCTGGTGCGAGCATATAGTTTTCTATATTGGCTTCTGGTTTTACCTGATGAGATGCAGGGGGAGAGTTGTGAGTGAAGAGGGTGGTGTGAGTTAGATAAAATGGACTTGGCCCATTTTTTACATAAGTCCATGTGCCTGTCAACCAGAGTATTAGCAAGCTGGCTAATTAGCACATTGCTTACCCTGCTGACAACCTTTAACATCCTGCGTAATATGTTATAGTCTTTCTTCAGTAGCCCAGGAAAAACTAAGGGGGAACAATAGAGAATAATAGGCAGGATGCGAGAATTAACGAATTGTAGGAGTAAGGGTCGGGTTATACCAGAATGTTTTAACTTCTTGATGTAGAAGGTAAGATGGAATATTTTCTTAGAAATTGCTAAGATATGAGACGACCAGGAGAGATCAGCAGATAGAATGACGCCTAGGTATTTAATTTCCGATTTGGTTTCTATTTCAGTGCCATCTATGTTGCATACTTCATGAGAGCCAACCAGTTTGTTTAGGTCGGATTTATGCCTAAAGGTGAAATTGACTGTTTGGCATTTGGAGGGGTTTAGAGTAAGACCATTTTCCTTGGACCACTGGCTGATTTCTGACAGAAAGCCATTGAGTTTAGGGCAGTCGCTTTGACATTTGATAGGCAAAGATACAGACAGATCGTCAGCGTATTTGACAAAATTAATGTCATTTGAAGATGGTAAGTCATGTAGGAAGGAAGAAAAGAGAAGTGGGGAGAGTACAGCGCCTTCGGAGACTCCGGCTTCAGTGAGTACAGCAGAGGATGATTTACCTTTGTACACGGTGTACTGCATTCTGTTTGAGAAGTAGGAATGCAACCAGTTAGTGACCCAAGACTTAGTTTTCGTCAAAGAGAGCTTATTTAGCAGGAGACATCTAGGTACAGAGTCGAAAGCAGAAGTGAAGTCAAGAAACGTGCAGCGGATGTACTTGGCACCTTTATCTAATGATGAGACAATGTTATTGTGTAAGACAGCTGCAGCGTCTAATGTACTCCTACCCTGTCTATAGGCAAATTGTTTGGGGTCTTTGAAGTTTTTAAGGGAGGGTTCGAGTTTAAGAAGTATTAGTTTTTCCATAAGCTTTAGAAACGGGGAAGTGATGGCAATGGGTCTGAAGTTTACGTTCTTGCCGTTTCCAGGTTTAGGGACAAGGACAATTTTGATGTCTTTCCATGCATCAGGTACGATATTATTGGAGAAAGAAGCATTTAGGATGTTGGTTAGTGGAGAACACAACACATCTGCACATTGTTTTAGAACATAGGCAGGTATACCATCAGGACCTAGGCTACGTGAGGGCTTGAGCGTTTTAAGACATTTTAGAACATCGAGAGTATTAAAGTCATGAAAGTTTTCAGCTACATGATAGGTAACATTAGAAGTAGTTAAAGTAGAAGGACAGCGTATAAAAGACTGATTAAGAGCATTGACATCATAAGAGGGAAAAGCATTACAACGCTTACTATTACCAGTAATTTCATTGAAAAGTTTCCACATACTGATTGGAGATTTACATGATAAAAGTGTATCATTATAGATAGCATTAAGATTTTTGATTTCAGATTTGATCTGAGCATTAATCTTTTTGAGTCCTAACTTGTCTTTGGATTTGTATAAAGTTTCTTTTTTCCTGCGAAGTTGTTTGAGATAAGGAGATGAGAAGCGGTCGAGGCGTTTGAATAGAGTTTGTTTGGGACAGCATATGTCAAGGCAAAACTTAAGATAATCCGTTATATTGACAATTGTGTCATCTAATGAACTTTCATGGAATAAGTCCCAGTTAGTATTTTGTAACATGCTCCTTAGATTGAGTAAGTTTTCGGATGAGTAGCATCTTTGTTGTGCTTTCATAGGCAGATGCGAGAAGACTTTAATATGTGTTTTGCTGTAAATTTTTGGTAGAACACGAACAATAGAGTGATCAGAGTTGAGGATCGGTGCACGTTTACGTGCTTCATAGATTCCTTGGTCATTTGTGAAAACTAAATCAAGTGTTTTGTCTAGTCGAGTGGGAAATTTGACAATGTTAGAGTGACCAAGTGCTTCAAGGAAGGAGCAATTTGACGAGTTGAAGTCCCCAGTAATAACAGATAGAGAGTTATCGAAGTTGGCGGCAGCAAACATGGTGAATTCATCAGCAAAATTTGAAAGATTAGATAGTGAGCAACTTGGAGAAATGTACATGTTTGTGATAAAGATGTGTTTATATTCGGGGAGATGTTTGGGACGACATTTGACGGTGATGCAGTCTATGAAGTCATTTGAGAATGAGAAGCAAACATTATTAGAAATAGACCATTTTGAGTTAATGAAAGTTGCTACTCCACCCCCATTTTTCTTATTACAACATTTTCGGTCTTGTCTAAATAGGATGAAGTCCTTTAGAGAGATGAGATTGTCATCGTACAGTTCGTGTAACCATGTTTCTTGTAATGTGATTATCTCAGTATTGTGATAAGTGTCAGTGGACATCAAGGATTGTAGGTACATTATTTTGTTTGGCAGAGAGCGGCAGTTGGTGTTCATTATGACAGGGACCGTGGTTAAGTGTATTGGTGTATGTTTAAGAGCCCTTTGCCAGCCACTACAATGCTTCCTCCTTGATTTCTTGGGAATATGAAAGTTATTGGGTCGTAAATGAAGGTAACAGTAATCATTCCCTAGCCTTACTTAAAAGTAACCAGATATCCTGTTTAATATCATTTTCATTTGCCTGGTTATCATGTTTTGTTCCGGGCGGGTATTGCAAGGTGATCATTGGTGCTCCCATCGGATTTCGAACCCAGGACCTTCTGGTTACAAGGCCAGCGAGCTCATAGACCATTAATCCACTGGTAGACGATCCAATTGCTATGTCATAAATTGGCAGAAGTTAGAATTCATGGGCCATTGGATCGGGTCCCAGTGGATTAATGGTCTACGAGCTCGCTGGCCTTGTAACCAGAAGGTCCTGGGTTCAAACCCCGGTGAATGCGTGCTGCTGAGGTGTCCCAAACTACAACGAAATAGCTACCCAGTGTCCCACAGGTTTTCCAATGGTTCTCTAAGTGATTGTCAGCTCATGATGAAATCCTCCAACCAATTTTGATGTATTTGTTTTTTCTGAGTCGGATGGTTTAAGTTACGAAGCTTTCGTTGTCGTTCTAGGCAACATCTTCACCGCTATACTTCAAAGTGAATTGAGCTTTTAGAATTCTTCACGACTTTATTAGTCATCTCTCCTGGTAAGCTTGAACGCGATTGTTAATCTTGATAACCTTGGATAACTAATCTAGTTCAAGGTTACCAGGAGAGGTGACTAACAAACTCACGAATAATTCTAAAAGCTCACTTCAATTTGAAGTATAGTGCTGAAGATGTTGCCTAGAACGACAACAAAAGCTTCGTCACTACACCATCTGGCTGAGTGAACACAACTACACCAAAATAATTCACCTCAGCAGCTAAAAATCTTCCATTATCTCTGAAACACCAATTTTCCAATTTTCTAATTTCATTCAATGTTTCCCTTTTTCTCTTGTTTATGTTTTTTTGTTTTGTTTGTTAGAGTAATCGATACGGTTTTGATCCATTCGAATTGACCAATCATGCTGTTCTATTAGTCGGTTATGGTGTGGATAAGTCAACTGGTGAACCATACTGGAAAATAAAAAATAGTTGGGGTCCTGGATGGGGTGAACAAGGATTCTTTCGAATTCTACGTGGAGTCGATGAATGCGGCGTAGAAAGCTTAGGTGTCCGATTTGATCCTGTTCTATAAGTAATCATACACTTGTGTGTCTGTGTATAAACCTAAGCTAAGCTCTACACATCTTTACTCTTATATATATAAACGAACAAATCATGCAGAATGTATAAGACTGCCACTCTTACATTTGATCTGACTACTCTGCAATCTCATTTATTCTATTATTATTATTACTTTTTTTTATACATTTATTTAAAACATATTTACTATTGAAATTAGATGGATTGATTGATAAAAGCCGGTGATTTTAAAGAAGAATTATTTTGTAGACCACAGCGTACATCCATTTTAGATATGTTTTCCCCCTCTTTATTACCGTTTGATATATTTTTCAAGCTGCTCCTAAGCTTTTCATGTTTTTAGCACGTTGATTATTTAACAATTACAAATGGACAATTTACAGACATAAAATTGCCTTGTTTTTGAACTTTCAGCAGTGATGATGTTTTGTGTTTTTTCTCACTGAAGCTGCTAATCTCACCCCCCCCCCGCCAAAGCTTTCCTTTTTATCCGAGCTTACTACCACCGGCTACATGAGATTTAAGTGTGCTTCGACCGGGAATCGAACTCAAACCGCCAGTCAGCGTGGTTGAAAAGTGAGCATTCTACCACCGATGCACAAAGTCAGGCTTTCTCATCCTCTTTTCGAACACTTTGACAGTCTCTCTCTCTCTCTCTGTGGATTCAACATAGAACTTGGCACCGAAGTGCAGCAGTTCGAGTTCCCACGTTCCAAATAGCACACAAAGGTAGACAAGAAAATGAGTGAAGAGAATCAATAGAGTTTTGACAAGTATAAGAGTGAAACAGAATGAGTAATGGTAGAAAGGAATATGAAAGATTACAGAGACTGAATACATCTGCGTAAGCCATTGACAACGATTTTGAGCCATGTCACCTATTGTCTCCAGCCTTCAGTGATTCTTAGAGTCCCGAGGGCGGGCCCCAACCCGGAAGTCTGCATCTCCCTACCTGACTCAGTTTAACTGTCAGGGATTTCATGGATTGATTGATGCCATGTTTTTGTTTGGCCACCACTTACTCTTTTCCAACCTGCACCTATATCAGCTAGCTAGTTATGCCCGTCGGGGGAGGTGATGATTAGACATGCGCAGCACGTGACCTAGCCATCTCAATCTATGTAACTTTATAGCCTCTTCGATTGATTTCACTTCGTATTCATGGTCTTGCAGGGGATCGAACTCTAGGACCTTCTTCAGATTACGGCGCAAGGCTGTTGATCATTCATCCACTGGGATCATTATACTGCATACTTACGAAATTTTACATTTAGAACAAGACATATAGGCGAACAATATTGTTTTCAATTAGATCTTCCTCAGGCTTTACTCTAATTTAAATAGATTTATATATAAAATTTTAACCAGTGACGGTGATTTTGGGAATCAAATAATAATAATAAGGTAAATGTTTTGAACGTAGTTAATAACGATGATTATAATGATAACAGAATATTCATAATAAGGTTTATGCAGGTGGCAATAAGAATAACAAAGGTAGTATGTTTATATATGCGTATATGTAGACAATTCAATAAATAAATTAGGTTAAATCTTAAAAGTTACGTTATACTAAAGGTGAAGTGGACAGATAATCAGATTGAGAGTGGTCACCAAGTGGACAAAAATAGTGCCTTCAAAGTTATCTGTTGCATTCCAACAAGCCTTTCGAACGGAATTCGAACCCGTCTTTTACGCATAGCCGGAGCTATGGGAATTAATTCGAGAGAACAATCCTAGTGACTTGGCATACAACAAAAGAAGTTTGTTCTACCTTTGTCTCTCCCTTGCTTGCCTAGGTGAACTCTATTCAAAACTCTCCCACCCTTTCTTATTTTCCATCTCCTTCGTACTTTTATGATATTTATTTAAACTCTGATTATCTGTCCACTTCACCTTTTAAGATTTGACCTAATTTATTTATTGAATTGTCTACATATACGCGTATGTACATATACTACCTTTGTTATTCTTATCGCCACCTGCATAAACCTTATTATGAATATTTTGTTATCATTATAACCATCGTTATTAATTAGGTTCAAAACATTTACCACATTATTGTTATTATTTGATCCACAAAATCACCGTCATTGGTTGAAAATTTTTATATATAAATCAATGTAAATTAAAGTAAAGCCTGAATATCTAATTGAAAACAATACTGTTCGCTTATATGTCTTGTTCTAATATTTAAAAAAAATGGGAATATTAGATATATCACACAGTGGAACAGTATTATTTAGTGAGTGATGTTTCAAACAAAATTTACTGTTCATAATCATATCAATTATAGCCAAACGATTTCGAAAATTGAGTTTTATAGTTTTCTTTGTCTTGCCTTGCTTTCCCGATGTTCCTTGCTCTGATATCCTCGTCAGTTCCGTCCGCCTCTAGTTGAAACGATGCTTCCCGGGTGGGTAGGTAAAGTAGACTGCTTCTTTCAGATTTCCCCCTGTAACCTATACATTTATGTAACAATCCCCCTTCTCAGGTGTGAGGCTAGCAACTCCACCCTGTAAACAAAGTTGCTGCAGAAACTTCAGTACGATGAGTCTCCTTGCGACAAAAGAAAAAAAGTTTGTGTGAGCACATGGAACGTCGGCACAATATACGAGCTGCTGCTGCGCGACCGCAGAGCCCAGGGGACAACTGCTTGAGGCCGGTCACACACGGCCTGTTTTTGTTTGTTGTTTTTCATTTGGTGTGTCTCAGTAGCGTATTTATCACTTCTGCCCTGTGACACGGCAGCAGAAAGCGCGGTCGTTGTTAGTTCGGGCCCCGACCGATCAGGCATGATATTTTGTGATTTATTTGAAGTCATAAGATTGGATTGGGTAGTTGCTTTTAGTCTAACCGCTATCCAAACAACCTTCCTGGCATGGTAGGACCTGCAGGGACATGAGTCCCAGCCAGTTTAGCTTGTTGGGTCACTACAATATACGAGACTGGCAAAGCTGCTCAGATTCTAAAATGTGACCAACTAATCATAAAATCAATGTACGTACCAGCGACTTTCTAAATTATTTTCTCTAATTTCAACTTTATATGATTAAAAATAAACTGAATGTAATATGCAGTTCATTGTAGACTACTACATGACTGACTGTATCGATTATTTGTGTCACGTGATTACGAATGTTACATACTTAATTTATATTATGGAATGTGTTAAATGTTATATGCCATTGTCGATAATCTACGAAATCACGTCATCTCACAATAATAATTTGCTTTAATGAGTGTTTCATACAGACTTATCAGAGATATAAACCGTTTTTTAAATTTAGGTTGTCAGACCACTTTGTGTTGGTTTTGACGACTGTGTCGTTTGTTTTTGAGATTTTTTGAGTTTTGATTTTTTTATTGTACAATTGTGAAGTGTGATTGCTTAAATCAATCAGCTATGGTTACCCTAGCTTGATACAGCTTAGGATAGGTAGACTGTAATAATAATAATAATAATAATAATAATAATAATAATAATAATAATAATAATAAAGATAGTTAGAGAACTATTGAAAACCAGGGAGTACTGCCAGACAGCTGTTTTATCAGCCTAGTTTGGTGGTCATCGGCGGTACGCACCCACTGGGGTTCGAACCCAGCACCTTCCAATCACAAGGTAGCATCTAATTTTATTGAATAATATTAAAAGCAATTATAAAGATAATATGACCGGATTGTTAATGGCAGTTCTTATATGGTATTTGTAATGACAGTGAAGTCGTATATATACACAAAACGAAATTGTAAATAATAATAATAATAATGTTAGTAGCTGAGCCAAATGTGGTGTCGTTGAGTTCCTATACTTGATACTACGAGCATATAATCTTTTGTACTGACTCCCGCTCCTACCAGATGAGATACAATGGGGGAGAGTTGAGAATAGAGGGGGGCGATGAGTGTCAGAAAATATAGATTTAGACCATTTCTTGAGTGAGTTTAGATGTCTATCAACTGATGTAGTGACAAGCTGACTAAGCTGCACTTGTCCGACTGACAACCTTTAACACCCCTCTCAAAATGACATAGTCCTTTTTCACTAACCCAGGACAGACTACGGAGGAAGAGTAAAATACAATAGGTGAAATACACGAGTTAACAGATTGTAGAAGCAGAGGTTGAGTGATTCGAGGATAGTTTGGGCTTCTTAATGCAGTAGCTTAGACGGAACATCATTTTACAAATCGACAAAATATGGAACGACCAAGTGAGGTCAGGGAATAGAACCATGCCAAGGTATTTTGTGTTCAACCTAGTTTCTATTATGGTCCCCTCTATACTACAAGCATCGTGTGTACTAACCAGTCGTTGTATATCACTTTTATGTCTAAAGGGAGAAGTCAATAGTCTGGCATTTTGAGGGATTTAACATAAGACCATTTAGCTTAGACCGCTGACTGATGTCCGACAGAAAGCTATTAAGTTCGCAACACTCTGATTGGGACTTAACAGGAAGCTAGACGGTAAGATCATCAGCGTATTTGGCGAAGTTGATTTCATTAGAAAGAGGTAAGTCATATAAGAAGAGAGAAAAAAAGTAAAAAGGAGAGATAACAGCACCCTTAGGAACACCAGCTTTAGTAAGCAAGGCCGAAGAAAGTTCACTCTTATATGCAGTATACTGCATTCTATTAGAGAAATAAAAAAAACAATCAGTTAGCAGCCCAGGGCGCAGTTTGTGTAAGGAAAAGCTTATTTAGCAAAATGCATCTGGCTATTGAGTCAAAACCAGATGTGTAGTCGAGGAAGGTGCAACGTACATATTTTTTGCTCCTTTGTCTATGGAGGAGACAATGTTACGATGTAATACAGTGGCAGCATCTAAAATACTTCTGCACTGCTTTTTTAAGCAAACTGTTTGGGACCATTCAGACAATTGAAGTAACAAGCTTATACACCGATATCCCAATTAATTTAGCTCTGGAGGTAGGTAATTAGGCCAGAATTGGATGTTGATCTTGAATTCACAAGTGGGATAAAAGTCTTAGTTGATGAAATAATACTAAGAGTAAAATTATGTCTAACCTTCATTTGATCCTAATTTCAAAATAAATAAAAAACATACAAGTAAACAAATAGGCTGGCAATGGGATCATCAATATTCCCCAGTGGTAGCTTTTAATTCACTTTTGATTTCTCCGTTGACTGGTCGGATCGAAATGTTAATCCGCAGATATTATTGAAGCTTCCGCTAAAGGAATCGACATGTAAACAAAGGCCGAACATTTTCATACAGTCAGTCAACGGGAAAATCAAAATTGAACAAGAGACTAGAAATAACTGACACCCATTCAAAAAGAGAGAAGAAGCATCAAAGATAACAAGGACTTCAGGTGAACATAGAAAAAACAGAGGTGATGAAGATTCGTGGCCAGCAGCAACAATCAGCATAAATGGGAGAAATCTGAAAGAAGCAACCTCCTTTATCCACCAACCTGAGAAGCATCGTTTCAACTACAGGCGGACGGAACTGACGAGGATCGGGAAAGCGATGCAAGCTTTCATTACTCTCAAGTCTGTGTGGAGGTCAACAGCACTCAGCATACAAATGAAAATAAGATTCGGATTTTCAACTCCAATATGAAGTAAGTGCCACTTACTATACGGATCAGAGACTTGGCGCGTCATTAAGAGCACTTCACACAAACTACAGACCTTCATCAACAGCTGTCTTCGCTCAAT